TAAAGATCACAAGAGTGGAAATTAGTTTATGAAATGCCAAAATCAAACCTAGCCTCAAATGTGTACGTGTGTGTGTTGATGTATTTTTAAAGGGTATCAAGGGGTTAGTGAAAGTTGTTTCTGTGCTAGATCTGATGGAGAGAAGAGATGCAAGCATCCTTTCAAAAATCCAGTCTTCCTCTAGTTCTTTCTTCAACCTTGACCCAGACAGACAGCCTGAGGTACAGAGACAGAATTCAATCTTGGCCCCCTCTCAAGGGACTTGCACCACTAACTGGAAAGAAGGGCTGTTAGAGGGGTGAGAAGCCTGGCGGAACTCTCTGGCCCACTGAGCCTTGGCTATAGCCCAGAAACCAGTCCGTTCTGCTTACCTAAGCAATAGCATTTAGAGAGTGACCCCTTTCTTGGTTAGTGCTCCGGGATGAGAGGTGGTGCAAAAAGCAATGACCTAGGGGAGGGAAGAGAATCAGTGTTCACAGCCTGGCGCACATACCGACACTGGGAGCTTTCTCCTACAGGGGTGGGTGGTGGAGAAGCACTGTAGGAAGGTAGGCTTCCGGGGAGTTTGGGATAGTTGTGCACATGGAGGGGAATGGGCGAGAACAGGAATCTAGATCAGCACTGAGGCTGGTGGTGCTCATTCTATGTTCCATCAACATTAGGGATTATACTTCCTATACTGAGAAAGGCTTATAGGTGTTGATACCTAAAAGGTTTCTCCATTGAATTTCATGGCCTTTGACTGAAGCTGAATGGCTTGTTCTCATTGGTTTACTTATTTATTTGAGAAGTGCTCAAACATAACAGTTTAAAACACAGCTCTTGAATCCAGCTCCCTGGATGTGAAACCTGTCTCCAGTTCTTCCTATGTTGGTGACCTTGGATGATGTATTTAATCTCCCCATGCCTAGGTTTCCTAATCCATAAAAAAAGGGATTAATAACAGTACCTACCGTACAACATTGCTCTGAACATTGACTGAATTACTACAAGTAAAATGCTTCGACAGGCACCTGACATGAAGAAAGTCTCCATAATTGTTAGCCATTATTCTTTTGTTATTATGATTGCTGCTGTTTAATACATCTGAAGACTGGATAGTAATCCTGGTGAAGCACAGAATTAGACCAGAGTCACAGGTACATAAATATGCAAAAGCAGAGTTCAAAGCTAACTTTAGGCTCCTAAGCCACGGGAGGATGTCTTGTATATCACACTGTTCTACACCCTAACTTCAGGGTCCAAAAGAACAAGCTGATACAACCTGCCTGGGAACTTGGCTGACCTACGTTATTCAAAGTGGCATCTATTTCAAAGATTAGGCTGCGACTGGGTCTGCCCAGGGATCAGACCACTGGTCACTTTTGTCAGGCGCATTAACTCTCAGACCACTAGGATGCTATTTAGTGCAGGATTAGTCATTTACTAATTACTAATGACTCCAGCGGCCATAGACCTAAGGTCAATAATTTTCTCCCTTCACACCAGGAGGATCCAGCACAGAGAGGCCAGACAGGTAATTTGCATTGTCTCTTCGTAGGAGAAGAGACCCACAACAGAAGGAGGCAGAGGAGGATTCTGTGTTGAAAGCAAGCAAAGAAGTTTTACTTTGACAGGAGTTTCCATAAGCTTCTCAGGGGAACATGTGGCTCATCTCTCCTGCTGGGACCTGGCAGGTTCTCACATTTGATACTTGCTGCCAGCCAGTTGGGGAAACAGGACAAGGTCTGACCCGGGCCCCAAATCACTTCTGCTAGCTGGCAAGTCTTTTCCCCTCTGAGCATCTGGAGAGTCATCCAACTGTGTGTGCCAAACTTGCTTGTATGTGAGAAGCGCGTTTGTTTTATGATCAGTGCCTTGGGTTTTAAATAAGAATACCGTAGGAGATGATCCCGCTCTGATCCTTGCTAATGTACCTCTAGGCTAATAAGTGCCGAGGTGATCCTCCTCTTTGATTTCATGAATAAGAAAATAAAATGGGAAATGCATGACAGTTTTTAAAAAGTACTGTTATTACTGAGTGTAAAATTTGTTTTAATCCTCTCTGGAGTGGCTAGGTTTCACTTTGAAAGTGCTGCTTGCCGGGCGTCCCTGGTGGCACAGTGGTTGAGAGTCCGCCTGGCGATGCAGGGGACACGGGTTCGTGCCCCGGTCTGGGAAGATCCCACGTGCTGCGGAGTGGCTGGGCCTGTGAGCCGTGGCCGCTGAGCCTGCGCGTCCGGAGCCTGTGCTCCGCAACAGGAGAGGCCACAACAGTGAGAGGCCCGCGTACCGCCAAAAAAAAAAAAAAAAGAAAAGAAAAGAAAAAAAAAAAGTGCTGCTTGCCAGATTGCATCTCCTGTTCCTCCTCTCCTTAAATATGTGCTTATTTACTTCCTGCAGAGTTCAATTTTAGAACCCATCAAAGTAGATCCACTCAGACTGACTACATTTTCATGCATAAATTCATAGATGTCTTCAGAAGGAATTGCACTTGCATATGCAAATACTTCCAATGCCTTTTCATTTCTACTTTTGGCCTGCACAGTTTTTAATTCATGCAAACACATTACACAAACAAATATGGGCTCAATAACAACACAAGGCATGTGTGAATAGTTAATTGCAAAGCTAGCAGTTTGATATGGCCAAGCGACTTCCATTATTATCAATGGAGAGGAACAAGATTAAACAGGAAGAATAAAGGTATATATGAAAATAAAATCCCAAGCACTTGGTTTCATTTTATGTAAATATTAATAAGGGAAAAGGTGATAGGCAAATCCACATTTCAACAATAATCTGGGATCTACAGCTCAGTGCACAATGATCCAGAAGCCAGGATGCACCTTTAGTGAGACTTAGGAAGGAGAGGCCACATTTCAGCCCAGAATCACAAGAAACAAAAACGTATGCAGTAGTATCATAAATAAAACCAAAAGTACAGCAGAAAATGAAAGGCTTTCAACCGTGTTGAACGTGCATCACCTTTCAAAATATTTGAGTCTTGTATTAGAGATGCTCTTGGAAATAACAGGTAGGTGTCCTCATTTTTCATAGTGGATATTTAAGCCCTCCCTTAATTAAGCTGTGCTTCCTCATATATATATATATATATTTTCTTCTCCAATTCCCACTACATGCACTTTGGGGTTGGGTGAGAATTTAACAAAGTAAAACACTTGTTGACGGTACTCACAGATCAAACACATTTGATACAGAACAATTTTCAAGGAACCCTCCCCCTGTTTGCAAAATGTTTCATTTACATGAAGGCAACTCAGAAAATAAGAGTGAAGATTAAATAAAAAGTGTATTCTGCAAGGGTCTACAATGGCAGTGGAAAAACAATTTTAGCTGCTTCTCCACTGATTTTGTTGAATATTCTATTAAATATAAAAGTTGAACCTAGGCTAAACAAGGAGAATTTGAGAACATGTTATTTTTAGAACAACCGCTGGATTATAGGATATATACATATATATTACATATAAGTGGTGTTTTCTAATAGATAAGTAAAGTAACTTAAGGAAGCTAAGACACTGGGAATGGAATTCCAAGCTGCTATAGAGTAAATGTTTGTGACCCTCCAAAATTTTTTACATGAAACGAAAACCACAGTGGTATTTGGAGGTGGGACTTTGGGGAGGTAAGTAAGTTACAAGGGTGGAGCCCTCATGAATGGGTTCAGTGCCCTTTTTTTAAAAGAGGCCCCAGAGAGCTCTCTTGCCTTCTTCAGCTATATGAGGATACAGGAAAAGATGGCTGTCCGTGGGCCAGAGAAAGACCTCTCACCAGACCCCAAATCTGCCAGTCCCTTGACCTTGGACCTCCCTGCTTCCAGAACTGTGCAAAATAAATTTCTGTTGTTCATAAGCCACTGGTTCACGGTATTTTGTTACAGCAGCCTGAAAGGACTAAGACGCAAGCTAAGGCATCTCATGAGGAATTAAGTTAGTCGCAACATTTACTGACAGGGACATAGAACAAGAACTACAGAATCGGTGTTATAAACACATGATGCAGTAACCCAGCAGGCAGGCCGTTGACCCTTGGCACAGGCAGAGCGACCCTTCCTGGTGCATTCACTGTATTTTTGTGCATACACTTGTAATTTTGCTAAGTCTTTATGTAAATCACATACACGGCAAGGCTGGTACACAAAGCACAACACGTGGAGCCCGTGAGTCAACTCAGACACACTGCTTCTCAGGACTGTTTGTGCTTGAGTCTACCTGTCCATACATTTATAGCAACCCATGACAAGTGATAACAAAATTCTCCACGGACAGTGACTATGAAGAGAATGCCAACCGTTAGTGCTTGGAGCGAAAACATTCTCCTCCCCAAAGAAATCAAAATACTATATGAAAATTAAGTTTGTGTGAAAGTACATGGGAATTATATCAGTGGAACTGAAATTGGAATTCACCTGTGCTCCAAAACAAACAAAAAAATGTGTAACTCAGAATTAACATCACATTTTTTGGGGGGGGGGCGAAGAGAGAAATTAAACATTATTGTATCAGGGGTGTGGTTCAAATATGTTTTTATCATTATAGCATTTGTTCAAAGAGAATATAACCAAGAAGCCCAAAGTGAGAAGCAGGAGAAATTTGAACTCTGGGAGGCTTGTGTGCTGGTTTCAAGGAAAATAGTTTAAAAAATCACAGATAATTCCATGTTCCTCAAGGTCAGAATCCGTGATGGTTTCAGGAATAACACTCATGGGGTCAAGGGTCTGCTGCCTGTCACATCTGTCAAAACCTACCCTGGTAGGTCTCCAAAAGCAACTACCAAATTGTCAAAGAACTGAGTGTCTAGAACCAAAGAGGCCCTTGTATAATCCCCACAGGAGTTTGATATGGGTTAATGAGAAGATTGTTCTCTTAAACTAAACTTTAATGGGGAGTTGATGCCGGCCTGCTTTGCTCCCCATTTCTACCAACCTCTCTCATCGACGTGCAACAGTGCAAGCATGTAAGACAGCTCGGACCATCAGTGCGGTCAGCTCTACATACCTTGTCTTGGGAACTCATCTGACTCCCGGTGAACGAGGTCTGTGACTCGGTTTCCATAGTGCATCCTGCTATCGTGGTCATAGGCCTTCAGAGTCTCGCTGGAGCTGTAGGACTTCTGCGTGGGCACGCGACAGTCTTCGCTGTCTAGGGAAGAACTCGTGTAGCGACACTCTTTGCCACACCGCCCCCTGGTCAGAGAGCGGTGTCGCCGATCCTTGACATCCATTATCCAGGTCCGGCAGAAGGCCGATGCTTTCCGAAAAGTCAGGCCTGAGTTTGGGCACTTGTCACTTGGCCACCTAAAAACATCACAGGAGAAAAACCCAGATTGTGATCCTAAGAAATGTTGCTTTCAGTTCTGACTCACGCCCTGACTCAGATAAAAACACAAGAAGGCAAATTTGGTCAGCGCTGCATCATTTCTTCTGCAAACGCTTAATGTATACTTAAACAATCAGCCTTAATAGAAGAACTCGGCACAGTAAATTAATTCTCTTGCTGTTTAATTGAATAGATTTGGGGAAAAAAAGTAATAGCAAAATAACTCATCTTTTGATTTTCTATATGTGCAAAGATGGCATGATAAGTCTGTCACTCTAATGCAAGATCTTACTGCAAAGTGGTTCAAAGCAAATCTGATTTTATTCCACTTTAATTACACTCTGTTTTTGCTATCGAAGGACTGGGGAAAAACAAATACCAAAATTAAATAAATAAAAATAAAAGAAAGGCGTATGAGGCGTAAATATATGCTGGTGATGCTTTAGTAATGGTACCAGGTCACATTCGACTAACATAAAATTTGCCTGGCTGCGTCTGGAGAATAATAATGTAAGGCATTCTTGACATGCAATCTTCCTCTGATTTCTTTAATGAGCCTTCAGGAAACTCCTCATCTGTTTTCTCTTCTTCGCAAATCTGTATCTTGGACACACCTGGTCTCTTCTTTCCCCTAGTCACCTACCTACAGGACATCACCTTGCTCACAGAGGTCTAACTGGCACAACCCTGTGACCATCAACCTAAGCCTACCCATACTGTCCTTTTCATGGCTGGGATATCCACTGTGGCAAAGAAAAACGGGGAAGAGCACTGAACACAGTAGGTAAGCTGATGCAAAGAAGCCTTTCCAACATATGACCTGGCAACCAGGGAGCCCCACAGCCTGCTGCTTAACACCCCGGGCCTGGAAATATACACAAACATCATTCAGAAAACACTAGCCTTCTACCTAGCAAACAAGACCAAAACACTTAGATGCCACTAAGTTCCAAGTGATAGGCTCTTAGTGATTTCACTGGCCATGCAAAATAGCCTGGACCATAGGGAAGGGCCTAGACAGAAGAGGAAAATACAAATTTTCATTAAAATGGCAAATACAACCCAGAGCCAGTGTAATGATTTTTCTCTAGGCTACCGTTGCTCACTGCCTCCTCAATATGTCAGGAAATACTTGGGGAGCAGATCTGTAGTTTGGAACCCCTCTGCTCTTCTTTGGTTATTTACCACGCTGTAGTGGGATGCCTGTGTATACCAAAGGACTAGCTTGGATGCACAGCAATGTGGATGGCATCTGCACCAAGACAGTGGAAGCCAAGTTATCCCTTCCTTGTCCTTTCATACCAAGAGGTCCTTCTGGATCTCATGAACCCTCCCTAATAGAGAGTATCAAACTGCCTGTAATTGTGAACACCTTTGTTTGACAATTGGCAATGAAAAAGAGGGTATACCTGTTGTAAACAACAAGCACAGTTGTGCTGTTGCCACAGTCACTTATAAAAAGTTTAATTCTCAGTTTCTTGGAGCCTACAGTTCCTGACTTAGGAAGCAGAGAAGCATCTTTGAGAGTCACCAGTCAAGACCCCAGAGGACACAGTCAATGTCAGCGTGGAAGTTTTTGCTGCTGCAGAGTGAATTCAAGTGTCTTAACATTAAAGCAATTTCTAGATGTCCAAAAACCTCTCCCTTAATTCCCAATGTGTGATCTCAACATTTTAGAATCCATATTACAGGCTGGTTAAGAGCATGGCTACTGGAGTCTTGTTGGATGCCAATCCCATCATGGCCACTGAGAAGCCAGAGCCCTTGTAAAATTACTCCTGGCCTTCAAACTCCATTTCTCAAACAGTGAAAGTGGAAAATAATAGTATTTATTGCATAGAGTGTTTATAAAAATTAAAGTAGATACTGTGGTAAAGCTCTCAATATGCTGCCTAACAACATGGTAGGGACTCTATAAGAAGTGTTTTTTTTTTTCTCCTCTGAATGATTAAAAACAATTTTTTGTCTTAGGTAAGTAGTTGCAAATTTGCATAAGGCAGAGGGTAGAGATGATCACATGAGTCCCTGAAACTCAAACTTCTAATGATAGATATCAATACCTGAACAACACACAGATAAAGGAAGACCTTTAGCACCTACCGAGGATGTGTAAGAATGTGTGCACCAATAATGAGGAGCCACAAGTGTTTTTTAGGGGATTTGGCTGTTTTTAATGGATTTTATCATTTTCTTCTCTTCTGCTGCACTTTGAGTTTTTTCTTTTTAATGTTTGCAATGTTCCTAACTCATGAAATCCTATCTCCTCTAATTTGCATCATGCTTTGGAAAGTGCGCTGACTTTCTACATGTGTATGTATGTGATTTTATTTTACACATATTTTTTTAAAATCACGCTCTAAGAGGGAGCCTAAAGGCTTATTACCTATTTATAAAGTACAAGAAATTTAGTGTCTGGACATTTTGACTTCTAATTTGGTTGCCTAGTGATCTTTTCCCACTAAACTCCTCTTTCTTAGCTATGCTCTTGATAGTTCAGTTTGTCAGCAATGTCACCTCCAGATAAATGATAGACATTTATATAAAATGAGGTAAGAAAATGACAAATCTTAGCCAGGAAAGCTAATTTCTTAGGAAACCGAGCAGAGTGCACAGACTGTCGGACTGTAGACATTTTGCACTTTGCCTACTATTTAACTATTAATTTCCAATATAAAAAAAGACAAAACAGGAGAATTTATATTAAAATCTGGGTCTTGAGCGTATCATGAAAAATCGGGCAGTCTAGAAATGCCCACTTCCAAAAAGATGGAATAAATGTACTTTTACCTATTTCTCCCATGAGGTACAGCTAAAGACCCTGTATAATATATATGAAACAACCATAAGAAGAATCTGAAAGGTGGGAGTAAGAGGTCGACTAACTAGTGCCCTCAGGACTCAAGGAACAATACTGTGGTGAGTTTCTGATATTTCTTTTGGCCCTATATATCTCAGACTTGGAGCTAAAGACACTGGCAACCCAGACACAGCAATAGACCCCGACAACAAAAGTTCCAACGAAAGTTTGCTTCCTCTAGCCAAAGGACTATGAAAGGGGCAGCCTAACGAGAGAGGAAACATTTAGATACTAACCATCTCACTCTAGCCAAACAACATAGAAAATTCAGTAGCCCTACTCCTACTTTCACCAGCAAAAGCCAAGTGCGGAGCCTAGATTTCCATGCTGCTGAGGAAGCGACAAGGCATCCCAACCCCAAACAGTGGTTTCAGAGAAGACTAAGAAGGAAGCTAGACATTCATGCTTTTCAGGAAGTCATGAGCCCATCCTTTCCTCAGAGAGAGCCTGGCCTTCCACTCCCACTGGGTGGTAATAAGGTGCCACTCTCCTCTGCTGGGGTGGTATAGGAGGAGGACTAGTGGAGACTCAGGACTTTCATTATCACCCAGTGGAAATGAGTCCTTCTGCCCATGGTTGGTGGCTGTTGGTATCAGTAGACATCATGCGGGGAGGAGTAATGAGGCACTCCTATCCCTACCATTGAGGGAGGTATCAGTGGAGGTCTAGTGGGGAACCAGAACTCCCAACTCCTCCCCTCTCCCAGCTCCTAATGAGGAACTATCTGCCCTTGGGTTTTGGCAAAGACTGAGTAGGGAACCTGAACTTTTATGCCAAACTAGCAATAATGAGGTGGAATCCTTCATCTAACACAGCAGTGTCAGGGGAAACCAACTATAATAGAAGGTTTAAAATAAGTCATAGATTCTCATAATACCCCAAATGTCCAAACTTCAGAAAAAAACAAAAACCCGTCACTCCAAGCACTAGAAAGGTTTCAAACTGAATGAAAAGAGTTTAATCAATAGATGCCAACACTGAGAGGACAAAGATGTTAGAACTATTTGACACAGATTTTAAAATAGCCATCATAAAATGCCTCAATAGCAATTATGGACACACTTTTAAAAAATGGAAAATAGAAAGTCTCATTAAAAAAACAGAAAATCTTAGCAAACAAACAGAAGATATAAAGAAGACTCCGATGGAAATTTTAGAAGTGAAAATTAACATAACTAAAATAAAAAACCTTAATAGATGGGTTCAAGAGAAGAATGAAGAGACAGAAAAAATGCTGAGGGAACTTGAACACTGAACAATGGAAATTACCCACTCTATACAGATTAACAAATAGACTAAAGAAGAAAAAATGAACAGAGCCTCAAGGATGTATGGAATGATAGCAAAAGACTTAATGTTTATGCTGTCAGAGTCCCAGAGGAAAAGAAGCTGAAAGAGGGGCTGAGAAAGTGCTAAAATGGCAACTGGATGCATCCAAATTTGCCAAACACATAAAGCTACGCATTCAAGATGCTGAACAAACCCCAAACAGAATAACTCCAAATGCATCCATTTTAAGATATATCACAGTTAAACTTCTGAAAACTTAAGACAAAGAAAATCTTGAAAGCCGTGAAAGAAGAATGACACCTTACCTATAGGAGAAAGCAATCTGAATGAAAGTAGATTTCTCATCATACCATGGAGGCCAGAAAGAAATGGCACAACATTTTTCAAATGCTGAGAGAAAGGAAGTTTCAACACAGAATCTAGATCCAGTGAAAATATGCTTCTAGAATGAAGGAGAAAACATGACATTCCCAGATGGAGGAAAACTAAGAGAAATTATGACCAGCAGACTTATTCTAAATAAATTGCTAAAGAGGTAGTTCTCTAAAACAGAAAGAAAATAATAAAGTAATAAATCTTGGAAATAGTGAAAGAAGAAATAAGAAAAAAAGAAAATACGTGGCTAGCAAAAATATTAGTAAAGACAACAGACATTCTCCTTTTGAGTTTTCCAAATTATTTTTAATGGCTGAAGTAAAAATTATAACACTGTCTGATGAGGTTCTAAATATATGTAGAGGGCACATTTAAGAAATATTATAAATGAGGAGGGTAAAAAGATATAAAGGGAGGTAGGGTTTCCACAATTTACTCTAACTGGTAAAATGGTGA